GCCGCCGAGCGTGCCGGGCTGGCACGGCGGCGGGATTTGCTGTAGGCAGCTGGATTACCCAGCACAACTGTAGTCCTGGATTACGTTGGCTGAACTACTTCAGTGGAAAAGGGGCTTCTAGCATGACCTCAAGCCAGCTACCGCAAACCCCAAGTTCTGCTCGAGCCCGAAGTCGACTTTGGCATCGTCTTGAAGAGGCAAGGCATAGAGGATGTGTTTGCGAGACCAACACATGCCGCAGCTCATTGACATGGCTAGGCCCACGCAGTTCATGCAATACCAGGTCGCAGCACCACTCGAGCGTCGCTCATCTTTCGGCTCGCGCAGCGGCATGCCCGCCACAGCAATCATTCGCGCGGCGCGCTGCTCATAGATGTGGCGCAGGCCTTCTACCGGAGCGCCCAATCGACTGCAGCGATCGCAGCTCAAAGACCGGTCAATTGCTTGCACTGTCAAAGCAGTGGGACTACCGCCGTCAGCATGCGCATGCGCGCGCGTCGACTACAGCAGCATGGCGCGCAGTTGCCCCGCAAAGATATGAAGGCGAACGTGGCGCGCCAAGTAACGTAGTGCCACCGCGTACCATGATTTATCTACGAAGGGCCCAAACAATCAACCCTGCCTCAGATCTGCGTTCCAGGGACAACCGCTGGCCGACATCTTGTAAGATATTATATCGGTTTCTTGCATGACGCCGCGCGCAGCATGCATGCGACCGAAGGTCTCGTGCACGATCCACCGCGCGACGACGGCCGCAATATTGCGAACGCATGCACAAGTACGGGCGCCACTGCTACAATGCCACTTGTGAACGCTGAATTCGCGGACGATGGAACAGCAACGTTGGCATTGGCAACGGGCAGTATACATTTCGGCCCGCGTCGGGCGATGGTGGCTGTAGATAACAAATCTGCTACGCACGGGCGCTCGCCGAATGCGGGGCTGGGCAAGACTGCGGCAATATTCAGCCGGGGGGGCAGGGGCCAACCAAGCAAAGAGAATCATTTCTCAGCAGCAAGGTGGCGCACTTTCACGAGCAACGTCCAACTTGCTCAGCCCATAAACAGATCCAGGGGCACTTGACAGCAATCCATTGGGATCTGTCATCGACCGGGGGAAGGGTCATGGGGCCTAAGTCTCGGCGCCGCGCGAACACCGCAGTCGCGTCGTTGCAGACGCTGAGGGGGCGCGCGTTCGCCGCCGAGGCCTCGTCGGCGCCAGGGCGGCCGCTGCGGACAGTCTGGTCATGTTGGAGCGCTTGTGCAGCGCAGGTGCCTGGCCGGCCTCGCCATGCGCGAAAACGAACTAATCGTGGATCGATGTCGTGAAGGTGCATCGCGCGGCTGCCTGCGCGCGGCTCGCGGAGGGCGAGTTCCCCTCGCCCGAACAGGTGGCGCTGGTGCAACGCCACCGCCTGACACCGATGCTCTTCTTGCGCGCGGCGAGGTTACGACTGCGCAGATCGACGCAGGTCAGCGGCCCCGCCCTCGCAGTTGCGCTGGCGAAAGCGGAATGGAGAGCCGCGGCGCCGCCCGCGAGGTCACGGACATGGGTGGGTCTCTTGCTTGAAGACCTAGACTGATTTCACTCTGCCAGCCGCGCCTGCGCCGAGCTGCCGCCACCGCGTTCAGACACGGCGCCGCGCGGTTGCACTTGCCGAGAAGAGTCCGTCGGCCTGGAAACGGCTACTAGGGCAAGCTACGCACGCGCGCGCACGCGTAGACAGCGCACAGACACGGCAGAGCAAGTCGCCAAGGACTGCTCCGACATTGTCAGACTTGCGGGCGCGTCAGAGCAGACCTAAACTAATCCCAGCGGCGTGCTCGCGATGACAGGCGCGTCTAACGGCGTTTCGAACTCGGGCGCATCTAACTTCTCGTCTGGCCTCGAACTCGCCGACGTGCCCGCGCGCCCTGCTTGCTGCGCGACAGAAGCCAGCGTGTCATTCGGAGCGTGCCGATGTAGGGCCCCAGGAGGGTTCTTTCATGGGCGGGGCGAAGAAGTTCGAGGCTGCGCCGGCGTTCCCAACCGCGAGGGCCGCGGGGCCCTTGGAGCTCGAAACCGAGAGCGATGGCGGTTCAACCGCAGCAGGAAGCTAGGGAACGCACGGCGGCGACCGATCTGGATGCCGAATGCCCACCGCCGCCGCCGCCGCCAGCGCCCCGCTCCGATGCTGGCTGATCCGAGCACGGGGAGGTATCCAACGGATTTGTCTCTTCCGAAACAAATTGCGAATGTCGCGGCTGGCCCCGCCCCGCGCACTGCGCGCCGGGTAGAATACTGCGCGCTGAACCTGCGCTGCGGTCGACGGCGGGAAGGGGGCAGTCAGACGCTGGCGGAGTTCGCGCGCCACCTTGCCGACCGAACTGTTACTGCAGCTTCCATCGACGCAGCTTCATGCGACGCTCGGCGACGCGATGAAGGCTGATGCGCTCGCAAGTGGATGAAACGTGCGTCAGCGAAGCGGGCCTTCTTGTCGGGGGGGAGCTTTGCGAGTCTCGGCCTGCCGTGCAGCGGGCTGATGGCAGCGGCTCGCCCCTGCCGCGGACGCGCGTCGAGCGTTGGGGGAGGCTGCGATCGCGTCACGACTGATGGAAAAGGCGTGGACAGACAACGTGCTTCTCGGAGCGATGGTCACACTATTCGCTGCGCACCTCACAGTAGGCACACTCTGCGGATGGAACATCCGCAACCTTGCGACTGGCGCAGCCAGACTGCGACGCCCTTCGCATGGCAGCCCCTCAAGGCCCTAATCTCCCCTCCCAACCAGTGACTACCGCGGACTATGATCTGTGCAAGCGCGGCCAGTCGTCGCGGGCGCCGACAGGTGTTCCTTGTCGTCGCGGGCGCGGTGAGTCGTAGCGGGCGTCGTGCTTTTACGTGTTTCGGCCTTGCACAGTCGCGGAGGAGAGAGGCGGGTGCTCACATGGAAGGAAAGGTCATGACACACTTGCTGGGCCAAGACGGCACTCTCTGGGAACGGAAGGCCGCAGAGAGGGAGACTTACCCCGACTGGCAGTGCAAGCGCTTGGCAAACAAATGTTTTGCAGATCGCACGATCTGTTATGTGCATACGATGTGGGCCAGAAACCGCGAAGAACCGGTGCCAGAAAATATCGGGGGGGGGGGGGGCTCCTGCGATCCGCATCAGGGACAACGCGGCAGCGCGGGGACTGGGCCCCTGATGTTGTGTCTCGTTGGGCTCAGGCCCGACGGGCGGATCCCGACATGAGTCGCTCCTACCCGCCCGAGCCTGCAGCAACATAGCAGGGGCAGGGCGGTGACGTCTTAGGCCCCACTGCCACGCTTAGGTCACCAGGGCCACCCGAGGCTGACAAGGAGAAGTAATACTTTGACGCGCAAGCCTTCCCTGGCGAGCAACTGCCGGGAACCCGGGGCTCGACGCCCGCGCCCCCCTCTCCTCCAGCTGGCGCGGTTGTCAGATGAGGTCAGGGCTTGACTCGCCATGGAGCGGGGCACAGGTGCGCAGGGCTGCCAAGGCAGCCACAGCACAGCTCGTGGCGCCACGGGCTGCAGATGCATCGTTCTGGCAAGGTCTGTTCGATAGAACATGCTAGCGAGTCGGCAGCTAACTGGTGTGGAAGGCTCGCGTTTCCCACTCTCTGCTTTGCCGCCGCCGCTTCGCCCCCACACCTCTCTCGTGCGGCTGCGCTCTTGTTGACGGATCGCAGCGTGCAGGTCCCAAGGGCTCGCCAGCCTCCTGCCCAGTTAGATGCATGCCTCTCTGCTGCTCGTTTGCCAAGGGCCCACGTGAACCCAGCTGAGGACAATGGTATACCCGCAAGCGCATCACACGCGCGAGGCCCCCCGCTCGTGCGAGGCCGAGTTGCCCCCCCGCCAGATTCAGCAGCTCTGCCGCAGCTGCCAGCCTGCCGCATGCCCCGCTTGAGTTCTCCTGTGGGGCCCACGTGATCGCAGCCGGTGAGCATGGTACGCCCGATAGCGCGCCACACGTGCGGGGCCCCCTCCCTCCGGGCAGCCTGCAGTGCCGCGCCCGCAGGTTCTCGTCCCTCTGCCTGTGTGCCTTCGCCTGGGGCGGCCTCGGATGTGGAGAGCTGCTCGACGCGCAGGCGGCCGACGGTGCCGTCGTCCGCCGTCTGTCGCTCGTGCCGGTGGACGGAAAAGAAAAATCGTCCACGCCGCCAGGCGTTGACGGAAGTGCGCAGGCTCGGACAAGGGTGGCGCCACTCGGCTAAGGCAAGCCACCCTGGCTGGCAATTTAGACTGTGCTGCAGCACCTCCTCTCCTGAATCCTGGTGCGAGGATCTTGATGTTCCCCCCGTGCCGTACTCAGGTCTGCGATGAAGGGCCCAGGATTTCTTCCCGCCTCAAGGCTGTGATGAGGGCCGAGGGTTGCATCCTTCTTCATGCGTCAAGGACCTGGCACAACGAAACAGCCCGCCCGCTTCGCTGTCTCTTTGTATGTGCCTTGTCCTGTTTTGCATCAACTGAACCGATATCGTACTGTGCTGCACTTTCTGCCTTTCCCTGCGATAGGCAACGCCCGCAACCTTGGCGCCCGAGCCGATGCAAATTGAAGAAATCATTCCCTGCATTGTTTTGCGTGTTGCGTGCCGACTTGTCACCTGACCAGCCAGCGGCTGAAGCAGATGCGCGATCCCAAAAACCGTTCTCCGCATCTCCTGGCTCTCCCCCCGCCCCTCGGACACTTCCTCCTCATCCCCGTCATCTCCGATCTCCACAGTCTCTCCCTCCTCCTCCCTCCCTCCCTCCTCCTCCCTCCCTCCTCCTCCCTCCCTCCCTCCTTCCTCCCTCCCTCCCTCCCTCCTTCTCCTTCCCTCCTTCTCCCTCCCTCCTCCTCCCGCCCTCCTCCTCCCTCCTCCTCCCTCCCTCCCTCCCTTCCCGCCCTCCCTCCCTCCCTCCACACCTCGACGTCGCCCGCAGCGGGTGCCCGGCCACGTGCCCCAGGGGCGACACCCCGGCGCGCGCGGCCGGGCCCCCGCGAGGCGTGCGCGGGCCTGTCGCCGCCTCGGCCACGATGCGCACCTCCCCGGGGCGGCACGTCATCTCCACAAGCCGCTGCAACCGGGGCGTCTGTAAACGGGGTGGTGGTTGAAGGTCGGGCGTGTCCCCCCTGCAGGTGGATTTTGGACGAACAAAAAAAAAGTAGCCCAAACATAATCGAGAAACTCAGAACTAGTCAAACAGATCGTCGCCAGAGGGAGATAGTCAGACAAATCAAATAGTCGATATTTTTGAATATTCCTCCCGTAGAGGGACAGGCCCGACTTAACGGTAGCTAAAGGTGCGCTTTCAAGTGTGGCTTAAGCAAATTTGCCGCGCACAAGTGCGAGGCAATCCCCCCCGCCCAAAGTTATGATGATGTATCGACGGCTTTGTCGTCCCGTCGTCCCGGTGTATCACGCACTAGTGCGAGGTAGATGCCCTGTCACCCTGTGCTCGCTCGTCGAGGCTCCTGTGCAACCAGCTGTCTACTAGCACCCCGTGCGCAGGGGCTCGGTCTACAGGCTCTCGAGGAAAACGTCAAGTGCACACCGGCGCCAGACGTAGCGAGGCCCGGTGGGCACATCGAGCTCTGGGGTCGGTGTGCAAGTGGCTTCCTCAAGCTTTCCCTCATCAGACATGCTGGCGCCACTCCTTCTGCTCAGTACCCTGGCGGCTCATCAACTCTCGCTCATTGCTTCAGTCGGTCTTGCTGCATCCCAGCTCTGATTGGGATCTGTGTGCGACCCTGAAATCATCTTTGCCGAGTGCCTAGCACCTGGTCAAGTCATCAGCTCCACGATGTACCTCTTCGCTACCTCCTACAAAAGAGGCGCTCTGCTCAATGCGGTCGCGGTGGCGATCCATGTTGGTCTCCAATCGCGACCGATCGCGCGCACACAAAAAAACGGTTCTGGGGGGTTGCAGCATACTCGGGCGTCTGACCTAGCTGCTGCCACTCCTCCTATGAATCCTGCTTCTCCACCTCCGCCTCCTCCTCCTCCTGCTTCAGCGTGTGATTTCGAAACGTGCTGGCCAGCCAGAGCCAGAGAGCAGTGATTATGTCGCACCCTCTGTTGCCACAGACATTGTGGACTTAACACCTCTTCTCATCCTCCTCCCTCCTCGCATCCTCCTCACCTTGGCATGAAGGAACCGCGTTCTGGCAGGAATGGGCCCTCGACCACTGGCCATCCCTCGGGATCAGCACTGAATCCTGAGTCGTGGCTTGACGGCCCCGTGGCCCGGAGGGCCCCCAGAACCCGAAGAAGTGGAAAAACAAAAACGTGGCCATTTCCCTGAGGGCCCGATCGCTTCATTAGAGGCCTCCTAGATGGGGTCCGAGTAGATGGGGTCGGAGGATCGCGCCACATCGCCAATGCATCGCCCATGCATCGGCGATGCATCGTCGATGCACCAACGACGTCGGCGATGCATCGGCGACGTCAGCGTGGGAAAACAGGGGCTCCACGTCGAGCCGTATGCTCGACGTATCGGCGATTCGGCGCGATCCTCTACAGTCGGCCCGTATCCTAAGGATGCGCGATGAGGATGCAAGGGCCTTGGACGCCCGTCTCGAAGCTTTTCGAGCGAAGCGCGGACAACGAAAGTGGCCAAGGATGGACCGAGGAAGCGATGCAAGGGTACCCTTGGAACAGATGCAAAACCTTGCTATGCGGCTTGACTCTACTCCGACTCTCTACGAGGCCTGAGACTTGAGAAGGGCCCGGCAATCCTACAGGCCTACCGACGAGTGTTCTTAGAACCCAGAAGCGCTCTGAGAACAAAAACAATGTTCTTAGAATATTAACCCAATGTGTTGAAACAAAACAGGCTCAGCCAGAAATGCTCAAATGACATTGCATGCAGACCACACAAACGTTCTCAGAACATTCTTGGGTGGACCCATAGGCAAGCCAGGACGCTTCGCCACTGCTCGATAGACCGATAGCCCGCTCGCTTCGTGACCACCCCCCTCGCTTCTCTCGCCGCCTCCCTCGGGGACGCACTGACCCGGGTCAATCCAAACTCGGGTCAGCAAGGCCTTTCAGGATCCTGCAGGATCCTGCAGGATGCTGCACCCAAGCCCGGGTCAGTGCACCCCTGGCACGGCAGGATCCTGCAAGATCCGCAGCTCTGACCGACCCCCGTGTGCATTTACCCCCCGTCTCTTGAGCTCCGTCTCCCGCTAACGTTAGGCCGGGCATGTCTTGAGCGGCCCCGATCTAATGCGATCTAGAGACGACAGGTTGGGCACGAATAGTTAAATACGAACAATCCGGAATATTATATACGAATAATGCAAACCAATACAACGGTAAATACAATCGTTTGAAGTGTGTTATATGATATCTATACACGTATTATACATATATTATACATACTATCATATATAATATCATATATACATATTTAGTATAAACATATATAGTGTGTGCATATTTATAGTACATATGGTATGCATGGTGTATATATAAACAAAAAAGTGCATATATATAGATGTGCACACACATATATATATATATAATCTAGATATTTTCTCCGCACCGCCCTCGAGCACATAACGACTTACGGCACAAACGCAAGCTCGGGCCCTCGCGCGTACATCGACGGCACGGCTTCACAAGGCTGACGCTTTCACTCCAAGGGCAACGCGCGGCGACAGCCAGCCGCCCCCCCCCCCTCCGCGGCATTCACTGACAAGACCTCGGAGAGGAAGGAGACAGCCACCCTCCGCTACGCAAGGAGGAAGGACACCCGATCTACGGGTTATCGTTTATGATTAAGTAGAGCGATAGAAGGTAGAGGTGAAAGTGCGCGGACACGCGCGCAAACACACGCACACACGCTCTCTCTCTCTCTCTCGCGCGCACTCTCTCACGCGCACACGCGCGCACGCTCGCGCGAACGCACGCGCGCGCACCTCTCACGCATACACGCGCACACACGCGCGCACGCGCACGCACACGCACGCGCGCACACACGCGCACACGCACACACACACGCACGCACGCATACACCACCACCGCCACCACTTCCAGCACTACCACCGTCACCGCCCGCCCCGCCTGCCCACCCGCCCGCCCGCCACCCCCCCCCCGCCCCGCGCCGCCGCCGCCGCCGCCAACAACGACCCGCCCGCCCGCTCGCCACCCACCCAGAATTGAGCGGCGGCCGCGCAGTCGCCCCGCGACGACGCGGCGCCCCCGGCGCTGCAGCGGCGTAGCGGTTTGAAGTCTGTCGCGTCTGCGAGCCGCCCAACTTTCCTGCGGCGCCAACGCGCCCAAATCCTGCATCACTTTCGGGTCGGACGACGCGCGAGGGTCGCAGCCCTTCGCCAATGAGCGCGCGCGCTCATTCGCGTCTGCGGAACGCGCGCGCGGGGCGCGGGCAAGTAGATGTCGCCGCTGGCAGGCGCGTCGCTCGTCGCCACTGCCGCCTATTGACGAGCCCATTGGCCCGGCGCCGCTGCCGCCCAACCAAGCGGCCTGCGCCCAGTGGCCCATGGCCCAGCCCATGGACGGTGGCCCAATGGCTTCCCAGCGACGACCGCGCGGACTGCCTCGGCCGCCCCTTTCGCTGGAGATGTCGGACTCCGCTTGAACTCTGCTGGGCGGCGGCGCCGACCAGGCTGCGATGGCGCGGCGGCGAGGGGGCCCGCTTCGGGCAGTCGGCGCGGCCCCCGCGGGACTGATTCCTCATTCTTGGCGCGGGGGGGGCCCGAGCGGCCGCGAGGCCCCTGGGTCATGCGCCAGCGCCACCGCGAGCATGGGGGGTGGGAACCTGAAGAGCAGCTTCGCTCCAGCGATGCGTTTGGAGCGCACGGCACCGATGCCTGCGCCGAAAACAACGCCTTGACATTGCATTAGAAGCCCCAGGCAGCGTTAGATTGCTGAACGTTGTTTTTGTCAACGCTTGAATATTCGGCGCGGTTTTTTGGTTATTCCGCGCGGATTATCCGAAGTCCCGGGGAAGTCCCGGAGAGGCCTTCTCCATGGATATTGAGGGCATCTTTTTTTGAGGATGTCACAGCTAGAATGCCCATTTTGGATTTCACGTCGAAGTCCCTGGGGAGTCCCGGGGAAGTCCCGGGAGGGGGGGCGGAAAAACCACAACGGGAAATTACGCAATAATTCAAAATAACAGAAACGAGGAACCCAACTGAAAATCCGAAACGGAACGACGTGGCCAAATTGAATCAAGAAGTTGCGCGCGGCGCGCAGCCCGCAGTTTTTCCGGCAGTCCTCTGGACAAAAAAAAAAAACCTTTTGGGAGCATCCCCGCAGGGTCGGTGGCCCCGACCGCCCGAATTCCAAGCGGGTCCGCTTCTCCGCGCGGGCGAACACGGCGCGTGACCTAGCGCGCCCCCTCGGGGCGCCGCGGGCTCGCCCTCGAACTGAACGGGCCCCGCAAGTGCCGGGGCCGCGATGATATGACATGGCGCCGCGGCACTAGTCGCCGTCGAAATCCCGCCACAGGCCGCGCTGAAAAGCTGGGCCCGCGGCCGAGATGTAGAGGGACCACGGGCGCCACTCCGCCAGAAAGTCCTGGGGCCTCGAGCTCCTTGCGATCTGGCGCGGGGACCGTGCGCAAGACCGCGCGGCCCCTCAAGATCTGGCCCTCCACTTCGCGGCCCGCGCTCCGCTTAGCCCCCGCAGCAAGCGCGCGGGCCGCTGCTTCCGCGGCGCAACTCGACGCGCCGCAATCAAGGCCGCCGCGAGCAGCGGCGCGGCCACCGCTGCCCCGACTGCAGCCGCGCACGGCGCATCATCTCATCGACAGCCCCGACGCAGCCAATAGACTATCGCGCGGGGGAGGGGGGGGGGCAAAGGAGGAAGGGGAAGGGGGGGGGGGGGGGGGGGGGGGGGGGGGGGGGGGGGTTTATGATTGGGCTTCTTAGCAGGAGGATCACTGGCTGACTGACTAAAACTGACTGACTGACTGGACACCATAGCTCAGTCCTGCAACGCACCAACCTGCTGCTCGTGCTGGAACTGCGATGCTCTGGCGAGTGTTGGAGAGCCTGCCTGGCAGCTCTCTCAGCTGCAAATCCTAGCGCAAGCGCAACCTAATCCGAATCGGTTAGGAACCTGTCGACAACTGCTAACGCGGCCTGGGCGTCACGGGGCAACCGCCGCTGTGACCCCGCCAGCTGGCCGTGAAAACAATGAAGCCCGGTCATTCCTGTAGTTACCGCTGCTGGTGTGAAACGCGGGTAGGTCGCTGGTAGGTCGCAGGTAGGGTCGCGGAGTGGGTCGCGGGGTGGGTCGCGGGGCGGGTCGCGGGGAGGGTGGGGGGGGGGGGCGACAACAACGACAACAACAGCGACAACAACAACAACAACAACAATAACAAACTGAACAACAACAGCGCAATAATCATCATGCGAACCACTCGTTTTGATTTCAGCCGCGCACCCAGGGACAATCGATGAATGACCGTTCGGCCCCTCGCTCCGATAATCAAATGTTTTTTGTTCTCCCATAATGTCAGTAAGTGTAATACTTCGTGTTCATATATATATATATATGTTTATATATATGAATGTATATATATATATATGTATAAATATACGTATATATACGTATATATGGATATACACCTATCTATATGTATACATATATATATATACATACATACATACATGTATATATACATATGTGTATGGCATATGCGTATGTATATACAAACATGTAGACATATTTATTATGCACGAAATATGTATACACTATCATTTATGTTTGTGGCTACCATATGAACATGTGATAACTATGTTTCGAATATTACGTATCACAATATTCAAATTACTCGCATTTAATACTTTATTTATGTTGCGGTTCTCCAGAAACGGGCGGTTCGCATTAGATCGGGGCCGCTCAAGGCATGTCCCCCTACAGGCGGATGCTGGACGGAAAATAAAAAATAGTCAACAAACTATCCCAGTGCGACCCTACCTAGAAGTTGGAGCCCCTAGGAAAGCAGCATTAGTAGCAACAGTAAAGCTGAGCTAAAGCTAAAGCTAAGCTAAAGCTAAGCTGAAGCTAAGCTAAAGCTAAAGCTAACGCTAAGCTAAAGCTAAGCTAAAGCTAAGCTAAAGCTAAGCTAAAGCTGAGCTGAAGCTAAGCTGAAGCTAAGCTAAAGCTCAGCTAAAGCTAAGCTAAAGCTGAGCTAAAGCTGAGCTCTAAAGCTAAAGCTAACACTAAGCTAAAGCTAAGCTAAAGTTAAGCTCTAAAGCTAAAGCTAACACTAAGCTGAAGCTAAGCTAAAGTTAAGCTAAAGCTAAGCTGAAGCTGAGCTGAAGCTAAGCTAAAGCTAAGTTAAAGCTAAGCTAAGGCTAAGCTAACGCTAAACTAACGTTAAAGCTAAAGCTAAGCTAAAGCTAAGCTAAAGCTAAGCTAAAGCTAAGCTAAAGCTAAAGCTAAAGCTAAAACTACAGCTCCCAGGGGACTGGGGGAACCGCGGGGCGGGGACTGGGGGAACCGCCTGGGGCGCTGTGCACTGCCCGGCCCCTTTAAGCTAAGAGAGTAAGAACCCTTCGAGGCAGAGCCTAGGTAGGGAAAAATCCACATATCATCAACAATAATCTTAAAACCGTCCCCAGACTATTGTTTGACTATTTTTCTAAATATCCCCTATAGGAGGACAGGCCCGACTTAACGCTAACCGCCCCCTCCGCGCCCGCGCCTCGCCCAGACGGCAGCCGCGCGAGCACGCCGGCGCCGTCCACGAGCCCGCGCGCGCCCCACGGGTCGAGCTGCAGCACGGCCGGCGCGGCACCTGGCCCCGCCTCTGTACCCCAGGCCGGCGGTCGGCAGCCCCCTCCTCGCGGCGACCTCGACGACGGCGGGGGGGGGGGACGTCGCCGCGGAGGGAGAGGTGCGGGGAGCGGGGGGGGGAGAGGCAGGGGAAGGGAGGGGGAAAGGGCTGGGGGGAGCGGGGAAGGGGGGATCGGAGGGAGAGGAGGAAGAGGACAGGCGGAGAGAGGAGGGATGGAACGGGGGGGTGCGACAGACTGGTGGATGGCCCTCCATGCCTGCAACTCACTTGGGCACCGCGCTGCCCTGTCCCGCCCTGCCGGCACTCGGATGCTAGAGGAGTGGGCGGCACCTCCGCAGAGTCTCGGCGCTGCCACCGCGGCATCGCAGCCAGCACGTGCGCAGTGCTATGCGGCGTCTGGCCGAGCCGACACGTCGCACGCGAGTCGACGGGAGAACACCGTTAAGCCAGGCGTGTCTCCGTACAGGGGGATTTTCGACGAAGAATAAAAAATACCCAAAAGATACTTCAAACTTGTCCCAAAAAATACTCCAAAAATGGCACCCAGACTATTTTTGTGACTATTTTTGAATTTTCTCCCTGTAGAGGGACAGGCCCCGCAGGGCAGCATGGGGGGAGGAGGGCGGCCTCCCTCGGACTCTGTGCACCTGCAGGCCCTTGCCACGACTGTCCCGCGCACGAAACAGCCGTCCCAGAAGGCGAGGTTACAACCTGATCGGACAAGAGCGGGAAACGCCGATTTTGTCCATTGGGCTCGCTGCTGGGAGAAGAACAAAAAAACTACCGATGGCGACGACGAGGCGGCGGACGACGAGGATAACGGCGTGGATGACGGGGAGGTCAGCGAGGGGAGCAGGAGGACAACGAGGAGGAAAACGAGCACAAGGACGAGGAGGAAAATATGGAGGACGACGAGAACGAGGCGGAATGAAGCGTAGGAGGAGGAGGAGGAGGAGGAGGAGGAGGAAGACGACGACGACGACGAAGGACAGTGAGGAGCACGAGGAAAAGAACGTGGAAGAATGGGTGGCCCTCGTGATCCGTTGACGCTACTCTGGGGGCTGTCGGTGCAGTCTGGGGCTGTATTCGGGCGTCTTGGGGCCTCTTGGGGGCCTTTCGGGATCCTCTCGGAAGCTTCTGGTCTTGGAGTTTTGCCGGGGCTCCCTTGAGCCGTCTTCTCGCCATCATGGGCTGTCTTGGGGCGTCTCCCTTGGGTCGGCTGGGGGCCTCGTGGTGGCCCTCTTTGGAAGCATCTTGGAGCTCTCTTTGGGCTCTCTGGGGGAGCTTTTGGGGCTCTTCTAGATCATTTTGAAGCCCCCAGAGGACGACTCTTGGATGACGTTGGTTCAGACCCCCATCCAGAGTCGATTGTTAGAGGATGTCTCGAGCGAAACAGTCATGTTTCAGAAATCTGCCAGCGGCCTCAATATTGCCCAAGAGGGTTCTAAGCCAAGACGAACCAAGGGGGCCCCAAGACGGCCCTAAAGAACCCAAGATGGCCACAAGACGGCACATCCCAAGACGAACGCCGCAATCGCAAGATGGCCCAAAAACGTCTTCAGACAACCCAAGGAACCCCCAAGAGCCTCCAAAGCGCCTCCAAGACGTCCCCAAGAGGCCTCCAGGAAGCCTCCAGGAGGCACCCAACAGTCCCCGTGTCACATGCGACGGCCTTCCTCAACCTCATTGTCATCCTCATTATCATCAACATCATCCTCACCACCATCACCACCACCACCACCACCACCACCATCATCATCATCATCATCACCATCATCAGCATCATCATCATCATCATCATCATCATCAGCATCATCATCATCATCACCACCACCATCATCATCAGCATCATCATCATCATCATCCTCATCATCGTCATCGTTTTCATCGTAGTCGTCATCGTCAACGCCATCGTAATCGTCATCATCCTCGTCAGCATCATCAGCATGATCCTCATCATCATCGTCATCGTCATCACCATCATCGTCATCGTCATCAGCAACATCATCCTCATTCCCGTCGTCATCATCGTCATCGTCATCATCAGCATCCTCATCATCGTCACCATCAACATCATCATTTCCATCGGAAGCACTATCATCATCACCACCGCCACCATCATCATCACCATAACCATCACCATCACCATCACCATCACCATCACCATCATCATCATCAGTATAATCAGTATCATCATCATTACCGCCATCACCATCTCCATCACCATCCTCATCGTCATCGTCATCGTCGTCATCGTCATCGCCACCCTCATCAACAACACCAATCACCCTCATCAACATTCTCATCATCATTGTCCTCATCATCTCGCACATCTTCGAGACGCCCCAGGTAGGTGCTCCAAGCTCATCCGTGGCAGCCCTCCAGTAGCGCCTCTGTGGATGCTCGCTCAGCCAGGGTCTCTAGAGGGCCTGACTCCCACGGCGCTGCGAATACTGCCTCTGACAAGGCGGCAAGATGCAGAAATATCCAAATTAAAATGGCCACTGCTAACGTTACTACGGCAGGGCCAAGCACCGCCCTGCAAGCTGTGCATACTCAAATGGGCTTGACGGGCACTGGACGCATGGCAAAATTAGAATGTATGTGTCACCACGCTGAAATCGACATCGTGGCTGTTCAGGAGGGGCGGATGAGCAGCCCGACCACCCTGAAGGGCGAACACTACACCATGCACGTGTTTCCTGGTGTTGGGCCATGCCACGCTCGAGGCAATCAGATCTTGGTCCGGCACCATCTGGCCATAGCGGTGTCCTTCGTAACATAGGTAACTGACCGTATGCACGTACTTGCGCTCGATCTTCAGGCTTCGGCCAAGCATCGGCGACTTGTCTTTATCAGCGTGCACGCGCCTACGCAGCAGGCGCCACCAGAGGAAAGGGATAATGTCTTCGCCAGTCTGAAGGACCTCATTGCATCGCAGTCAGCAGGGGTTGACTATGTGATCGCGGAAGACTTCTATGCCTGGCTTGGCACTTTCGCTTCACCAGGCGCGGGGGTTTCTTCGCGTGACCGGGACAGCGAGTCGGGCGCGCGCCTGCGCGAGACAGTGGCCAAGTTCCACATGGATGTGGTCAGCGCGACGAGGCAGGACTACCGACCGACGTGGCCGGAGACTTCGGGGCACCAGCGCCGCATCCACGATCTGATAGTGTCCACTGACCTTGCTCCCACCGCCAGGGACGTGCACGCGAATTTGGAGGTTGACATGCGCCGATCCCGCAAAGGAAAGACCCCGAAGATTTGCAGAGCCAAACTGAAAGATCCACAAATGCAGCTCGCACTGCAGTTGCGGCTTTGGAATCATAAGGTTGCGCTACGGAGTCGCCCGCACGAACAAGTTGCAGCAACTGAACCAGACCACGACAGAGATGGTTCCGGACATCCTTGCAGCGGATGGTCGCACCTTGCAAGCATTGGATTAGCAAGCGCGCGCGGCAGCTCATGCAGCGCGCATGGATGTTGAACTGGCACTGCCGAGGAGCGCGCCTGCCCGCGTGCTTCTCTGCCTGATGATCGCACAGTGCGTCGAGTGCGCAACAGGACGACGAGCGCCGTTCTGGATTTCACTGCGCCCAACTTCACCGCGCTGGAATTGCGGAAGCCCGAGCACTGCATCTACTGCAACTCGTCCAAGCCGAGAAGGCCAAGGCGCTGGTCGCTGATCGAGAGCACCAGTGGACTGCCCTCGCTTGCGAGGCCGACCAAGCGGCAGCAGCCCGAGATCTCCGCAAGACCTACTTGATCGTCCATCGAGTCGGGGGTGTTTCCTCGTCCGCTCTGCCAGGCACTCGCTTGGCCAACGGAGAGTTCGCAGCTTCTGAGGCGCAGGCGCAGGAGCGCTGGGAGACTTTCTTCGCCGAGCTCCTGATTGGTGAGTGCAGCAGGACGTTCCGCAACCACCGCCTCCCCCAAAGCCCGATCCGCAACTGCTCCGCGATGCCTTCGCTGAAGAGGGCCACGTGCGCTACAAAGTAGACCAGCTCTTTCAGACCATCAGGGACAACCAGGCGGTAGGCCCCGATGGACTGCCGATCGAAGTGTGGAAGGCCACTGGTAACCTCGCAGCCGACTACGTAGCAGAAATTCTCGAGGACGGAATCCAGACCAATGATGACCGAATGGCATGGCGCGGGGGAAAGTTAGCCAAACTTATCAAAGAAAAAGGCGGCACGGCAGAGTGCGACATGCACCGTGGGCTCCTGGTGGGCGATCACACTTCGAAAATCTTCGCAAGTGTCATGCGCCCTTCCGTTCAACGCCGAGTTGAGAAATCACTGCCTTCGCGTGGGGTGGCGTGGGCCAATCGTGGCCACCATGTCGTGTCGAGCTTCGCCGAGAAGACCGCCATCGAGAAAAGGCCCGCGGCAATTATATTCCTCGACCTCACGAAAGCTTTCGACAAGCTTGTACGCGAAACGGCCTTTCACCTTGAAGCTGGCTCCACCACCAAGGCGGACCTGACCGCGCAGCTCCAGAAAGTGGGGGTTGACGACACGGCAGCCTCGCACCTGACCAACTACCTCATGCAGCACGGTGGCATCTTGCAGCAAATCGAAGTCCCCGACACACATCATCAGCTTAATGGCCAACCTGCACAAGGAAACCTGGTTCGCGCTCTCCCGAGAGGGCAAGGTCATCAAGACGACGAGGGGCTCACGCCAAAGCTGCCGATTCGGCGCCTTGATTTTCAATACTGTGTATAGCGTGGCCCTGGGGAAGCTTCGAGCAGCGCTTGACGAGATCAACCTCACATTCGCTGCGAAGTTCGAGCCCAGCGGCCCATGGGCCCACCAGCCCGACGACTTCCCCACGCACACTGTGCCCATTGGGGAAGTCACGTACGTCGACGACAAAGCCATATTGATTGTAGGCGAAGACAACACGAGCCTCAACCGCAGCGTCGCCCTGGTAGCCGAAGTGGCGCACACCACCATGGCGAGGCACAGCATGCAGCTGAACTGGCCTGGCAAGCCAGAGGACCTCATCGTGTGGAGGGGTAAGGGCGCACGGGCCGCCAAGGCAGAGGCGATGATCGGCGAGCGCCCTGCCTTGGCCCTGCCTGGAGTCCCAGGCATCGAGTGCCTCGTGGTGAGCGGGTACAAGCACTTAGGATCCATGCAGTCTGGGATTGTGTCTTCTGCCCTGGATATACGTGCACGCCTGCGCTAAGCATCCGCGGTGTACCACAGCCTGGTGCGGAAGGTCTTCGCAGTGCAACACATGAGCGTGCAGCTCAGGCTGCGACTTTTCCAGTCCCTCGTCCTTTCAATGCTGTTCTGTACCTCTGAGCTGTGGACGCCTTCGCGCACGCACAAACAATGGCTGCACACATTCTATCTGCGCGCCGTGCGCAGGATCGCCCATGAGAGCCGTTTCCCGATCCCTGGGAAGCCCCGCCTAAGCGATCTTGCACTTTTGCAGAAATTGCAGTTCCCACCATTGACAGTATACTCAGGCGGCGCCGCCTGCTGTACATATCCAATTGATCTACAAGCCCTTCCCTGCGCTGCAGAACCTCCTCCTGCCCCCGTGGTCTCAACGAACTCACGCCGACCTCCAAGCGACTCCCGGGCAGATAGGGGACCCAAGACCCAAGCCCAGCAAAAGGAACAACAGCATAGACAGAATTCATAGCCACTGACTGGTGGAAGTGGAAACGTCTCGCCCTGGACGCTACGCTAGGATCGGCGTCTTTCGCCGACGACTCCACGGATCCTCTTACAGTTCCGTGCCCAGAGTGTGACAGACTTTACAGTAGCAACAAAATCGTCGCTACGCACATGATGAGGGCTCACGGCCATCAGAAACCCGTGGCGTAAGTGATTCAAGTAAGGGCTATGGCATGCCCTGCCTGCTCAAAAGTTTTCCTGACCACCCCGCATCTTCTAGACAATACCCGATACAAAGCTCGCAAAGACCGAAATGCAATTATCGCTCTCTGATGCGTCGTTATGTTATGTGTCTTGCCGCACGATTTAAGTATATGGCTTCCATCTGTCTCTCCAATCACCGTCAACTATCAGCATCATCATCACCATCACCATGAACACCGTCATCCTGATCACCACCATCAGCATCACCATCAGCATCACCATCATCATCAACATCAGTATCACCATCATCATCATCAGCGCCGGCGGCGTCGTCGTCATCATCAGCATCGTCATCGTCATGGCATCGTCATCATCATCATCATCATCGTCATCGTATTCGTCGTTATCATCATCAGCAGCATCAGCATCCGCATCCTCATGCTCATCCTCTTAGTCTTCCTGTTAATCATCATCAGCAGCAGTATCATCATGCACACCACCATCACCATCACCTCCGTCGTCATCATCATCGTCACCATCACTTTTGCCATCACCAGCATCATCATCAGCATCCTCAGCATCGTCGTCATCGTCATCGTCATCGTAATCATCATCGTCATCATCATCAGCACCATCCTCATCATCAATCATCATCATCATCAGCATCATCGTCATCATCATCATCCTCGCCGTCGTCAACCTCATCATCATCCTCATCCTCATCCTCATCAGCAGCATCATCAGCATCATCATCAGCATCATCAGCATCATCATCAGCATCATCAGTATCACCATCATCTTGCTCATCCTCTTCATCGGTCCCTTATTCCGCCCAAATCCCTTCCTCCACTCAGCCTCATCCTCCTCCTCGTCAGCTTCCTCCTCGTCCACCGATTCCTCCTTTTCCTCCTCCTCCTCCTACCTCTTTCTTCATGCCCCTCCTCATCATCGGTATCACCATTACCTACGCAACCATCATCGGCATCACCAGCATCATCATCATCATCATCATCATGGACGCCACCATCATGAGCATCATCATTAGTATCATCATCAGCATCATCCTCAACAGCATCAGCATCACCATTAGCATCATCGCCACCATGTCAGCATCCTCACCGTCGCCATCCGCATCAACATCAGCACGATCAGCATCATCGTCATCATCATCATCATCACCATCGTCAGAAATACCGTCGTCTCCAGCGGAGTCGTCATTATCGGCATTATCGTGATCGATATGTATTGTCATACTCGTCATCACGATCATCGTCAGAACCACGATGACCAACACGACACGGACGAAGATTCAGATGTCACGGCTAGCCTGCGCCTCAAGACACGAAACCTCAAACGTTACGGTTTCCCATGCCCTCTCGAACAGTCGCCACCGAGATTCCTGACCTGGCACGGTGGCGGGACTTGCCGCAAGCAACGGGTTATTGCACTCGTAGACTCTCCGTATCTATATCCGTCGCTCTCTATCTCTCTCGCTCGTGTTTTGCTTGTGTTATCGCTATCTCCCTCTCTCTCTCTCTCTCGCTGCTGCTGCTCCTCGTCCTTCGTCTCCCCTCCCCACCAAACTCCGCGGCGATGTAGTTGAGCACGGCGTCGGTGAGCGCAGGCTCCTCCCTCCACGCCCACCCCATCAACGCGGCGCAGGGCACGAGAGGGTGAGCAAAGAATCTACCGCACGACCTGCCAATGCCAGCTCCGTTCCTGAAACGATGAGTGGGACCTTGAGACATTGCCACACCTTCATAAAGAGAGGCTGCACACCAACGAGCCCCCATATAATGATACTAGAACCAGGCTGTCCACAACAAAATAAATGTGAATGTGTCCATATGCGCGTAAGGATCGAACATTGCGACACAGGACACACTCAAAGGGCCAAGGCGGAAAGGCTCACAATAGGCCCGCCTTCTGCTTTCCACTCCTCCTTCTGCTCCTCCTTCAACTGCGCCTCCTCGTCCTTCTCTCCCGCTTCCGACGCCTCCTCACCCTCCTCATTCCCTCAGGGATCTCCTCATCGTCCTGATCATCATTATCATCATCAATTTCATTGTAACGTCCCCGTCGTCGTCGTTGCCTCCTCCTCCCCCTCCTCCTCCATTTCCTCCTCTTCCTGCTCCTGCTCACCCGCGTGCTCCTTGGGGCTGTTTTCAAGTCTCCTCCTCCTCTCGTCCGCTCGGACCCCCAACTTCCACTCCGTGTCCTCGTGCCGTCCTTCACATTTGGCCCCAACGATTTGTCAATTCAAGTAGACCGAACGATTCGTGAATTCAAGAGGACCCTCCAGGATCGTCTCGAAGGTTCCGAAGGGCCATGCTTGTGCAAATGTGTCTCTGAGCTCGACCGAAAGCTTGGCACCGTCCAGCGCAGCAGGAGCACCTCCAGGCAACGACATCGCACGCTCCAGGACGGGGCGCGAGGCGGCACCGTGCGATCGCTTGAGCTAAAATGCACTTGGGCCAAACTGGCTACGGATCGACGATCTCTGTCTCTCTCTCTCTCTGTCTCTGTCTCTGTCTTGCTTGTTTCTTTCTACTCTCTACCTCTCTCTCGCGCGCGAGGCAGACAGACAGACGGGCAAACAGACAGACCGACCGACCGACAGACAAACAAACAACTGCTGGAGCTGATGGCCCCCGAGAAGGGGCCAGGCACACAGTCCATCCCAGCTGTGGCTGGCTCGGGGGGGGGGAGACCGGAGGGGAGCGGAGGGGAAGAGGATGGAATGCCCCTCCCCAGCCCCCGTCCCCCCGCGGCCCCTCCAGGGAGCGCGCCGTGGCCTTCGCCCAGCTCCGCAGGAAGCTGAACAAAGACGGCAGTTCCGCATCTGCGGCGGAGTCCTCCGGGCGCTCCTCCCACCATTGCTCCTGCTCCTCGGAGGGGACAGACAAATATGGGGGAGCAGGGGGGAGGGTGAGAGGGCGGGGGGGGGGGGCACGGGTGAAGGGGGAGGGCGCACATCCCTTCCCAGTGCGCTGATTTGTCTTTACCAACGGACGCGTGCCATAGCGGACCTGGAACTCAAAAACAAATTCCATCGTGTCTTGCGCAATCAGCAAAGGGGAGCCGTGTACATTGGAGGAGGAGGTGGCGGATGAGCAGGAGGATGAGCAAGAGGAAGGAGAGGGGGCAGGAAGGAGGATAACGAGGAGGAAAACCAGCAGCAGGAGCAGGAGTGGGAGAAGCGGGCTGGGGGGAGAGGAAGAAGTCTGATCCAGAACAGTGGCCCACGCTAGACCGAGAGCGTCATTCTGAACGATGGGATCAAAGCACCGATCCTAAAAGGAGGCCAACGCTGCAGCGGGAACACACTGCTTAAGACACCGAAGACGCTCCGATTGAACAACGAACATGGGACATCAAACTTTACCCCGTAAAAAAACATGCGAGGAGAGGGTCGTTCCACTCCCCGGCCACCTTCAGGAGAGAGAGAGATAGAGAGAGGAGAATACTTCTCACATTGAGTACCCAACTGTAGCAGGGAGGGGCGCCTTACTCCCCCGCAGCTGGGCCGCCTCATGCCGGCCGCCCTGGGCGCCTCCGGGGCGCAGGGCACGCGCTGCAGCTGGGCGCCGCCGCCCCGCTCCTCCCCAGTCGGAGGGACCGACGTTCCACCACCACCACGCCCACAGCAGGGATGAGGAGGAGGGGGGGGAGGAGGAGAGGGAGGAGGGGGAAGAGGAGGAGGAGGGGGAGGAGGAGGAGGAGGAGGAGGAGGAGGAGGAGGAGGAGGAGAGGAGGAGGAGGAGGAGGGAGGAAGGAGGAGGAGGAGGAGGAGGAGGAGGAGGAGGAGGGGGAGGAGGAGGGAGCGAGGAGAACCCAGCGAGGCGCGGCGAGGGCCATCGGCGCGCGCCGCGTGGCTGCAGGGCGCGCCGCCCGGCCCGAGAGATGAGGCCGGCCCGACCCTGCGCCCCGGGGCTCGGACGCCCGCCGTGGGTGCAGAAAGCATGCCCACATGATGGGCCTGTCTTCCAACACCACCGCCACAAGTTGGAGGGGGGAGGGGGTCCTCCTCCCCCTCGTCTTCTTCCTCCTCTTCCTCCTCCTCCTCCACCTCATCCTCCTCCTCCTTCTCCACCTCCTCATCCTCCACCTCCTCCTCCTCTTCCACCTCCTTCCCCCCTCCGACTTCTGGTGGTGGTGTTGGAAAACAAGCCCATCGCAACAACAAGTGCTGTCCCAACAGAAAGGGGTACAGTGCTGTGGGGTACAGATGTTGCCCACGGGTGTCAAAAATGGGTGCAGTGCCCAGCAAAATGCTGCCCCAAGCCAGCAGCGGCCGGTGTTGGGCAGGCGGCCGTTTGTCTTAATGTGGACACGGGCCGCGGCGGCGCGGACAGCGAGTCCTGTTCAGAATGAGCAAGAACTGCTGTTGGGCACCGTACCCATTCTTCGTGCCGACTGGGGGAGGAAGGAGGAAAGGATGCCGCCCGAGATGAATTAAACGCCTGTCTGGCTGGTCACTCGCCTCGCCCCCTCCGGAATGACTCAATACGAACACTGCTCTGCTCTCTCCCTGGATTCCGTCCGAGCGGGCCCCCTTCTCTCCCGCATACTTGTCTGTGCGTACAGGGTCTCAGAAGATGTCTGTTACTTTTCACCATGTACGTTTTCGATGCTTCAAATTGGTGTTTCCGACGCAGCGTTGGCATAGTTTTAGGATCGACGTTTTACCCCCCTCGTTCAGAATGGCGTCCTCGCACCCAGCGCGAGCCACAAGTCTAGATCCGAGTCCGTCCTTGTCGTTGTCGCCCCGCTCCTTTCCCCTCCTCTGCCTTCCCCTGGTCCTCCTGCACCTCCCGCTCCTGCTCGTGCTTCTGCTGTTCCTCCTCGTCCTCCTCCCTCGTCCTCATCCTCTCATTCCTGATCATCCCCTTGCTCATCCGCCAACGCCTCCTCTTCACACAGCTGCCTTGATCTGGTTGCGCATAACACGATGAGGTCTTTGAGGGGAGTTGCAGGTCCGCTATGACACGCGTCGGCGGATAGAGAAGCATCAGCGCAATGGTAACTCATGGGTGGGAGGGGTAGGATGTCAGATATGGTGCGAGCGCACCTAGCTTGATGTCCCTACTCTCTGCTCTGCTCAACTCTTCTACCTCCCCTTCCTCTCCCCCTCCCTCCCACCCGCGTTCCATCTCACCATCCCTCCTCTTTTCTGCGAAGCCTCTAGATCGGAAGTAGCTTGTTCGAGATCTAGATGATCCTGCAGAAGGCTCCTGCGTGGTGTCAGGTGCGAGCTTGATCGCATGCTCCGCCTAACGCTCTGAAAAAAAGCCCGTGCCGCCTTCTTGATGGTGCTTTGATGCCTTCTTTCCCTCCCTTCCCTCCCCCTCCCTTCCTTCTGTCACCCCCCTCAAGCTCCTTGCCACCACTCCCCCCCGCCCTCTCCGCCCTCCCGCCCCTCCTGCGCCCTCGTCGTCTCCCCCTCCCACTGATCGCCCAGAGCCCCCTCGCTGCGGGCCCCCTGCCCGAGCGCTTCTTCTTGCGATCGTGCTGGGGGCCCGAGGCCGCCGGGCCGATACGCGGCAAGGTGATCAAGAGAGTTGCATCCCCCTGGCTGGCCGGTCCGTACTCGACGCGTTAACCAGGAGCCGGCTCCCCAGAGTCTTACCCGCCGACCCCCATCCCTGTCCTGCTGCTCCACTGCTGCTCGGGAGCGGCCAAGAGGGGGGTGACGAAGAGGGGGGAGGGAATTATGGCTCGAGGCAAGCGCTGCGCACAGCTCGCAGGGCTACGCACGCGCAAACGCGATCGGATATCATAGAAGCCCACTGACCGCCAGAATCATCGGTTCAGAACCAAAGCCAGCCAACTATATTCGGCCAGCTGCCCTGGTCCCCAGCGACAGCCGTCCGGGCACGTGGCAGGGGGCGCTCCTGGGTCTCCGCAGGCGAGCGGGCCGCATCCCTCGTCGCCCCGCACTGCGGGCACCTGGCCGCTCACGAGGACGAGTCAGGACACGGGAGCAGTGGTAAGATCGGCGGTAGACAAACCTCTCTTTAGTAAACCTCCCTTTAGTGAAAACAGCCTGGGACCGAAACCGACGGACCTGGACCCGCAGAAATGACGGCCGCGACACCCTCTCGCGAACTGAAAACGGCCAATTCCTTAATCGACGTGTTAGGATAGGAGGTCTGCCCACCCCCTGTAAGAACACTTCTGGCGGGGAGCAAGAAGGGGGGACTGGCTCAAGGGGGGAAATATGGACTCGGAATCGGCGATACATCGCCGATCGATCGGCGAAACCACAGGTCCCGATGGGCGATGAACGGGCGATTGGGGGTCGACGCCTTCCCCCTGAGTCTATCCCCCTCTCATGTCAATGCCCCTGAACTTAATCCCACCAAAAGAGCCTAAACATCTCGTGGGAAAGACACTCTACAAAACTACACGGCACAGCATAACGCACGGCACAGCGCGGCACCACCCCACCGAAATTCGCAGTTGGGCCCAGGAGTAATTCACGTCGTTGTCGAAGTAGGTTGCGCCATAACTTGAGCACTCCCGAATCACGGTCAGCTTCGCTCTGTCGAAGTCGCGCCGAAAGTTCCTCGATAATTTGCTCAAACCCCACCCCAATATAAAATTTGTCTTCTCTGTCTAAGGTTGCACCATAGGTCACACACTCCCGACCGTCCGTCTAGGTTGAGCCATTGGTTGCGCAAGCCCGGCCCAATCACAATGTAGCCAATTCTGTATACACTGCTCCATAAGATGGGCACACCTGGCCGAATCACGGGTTGACTCTCTCTTCACGTTTAGCAGTAACGGCATCCTTCTTATGACTCGCTACTGAAGGAGATCCGAGAGCGAGCATCAGAGAACGAGCCCGCGTATGCGTAAGAGTTGGGAGAAACGCCGACGTGAGTATGTAAGCGTCAGGGCGAGGGTAAGAGTGATTGCGAGGGTATGCTAGGAGTGTAGGCAACATATTCTGGTGTGAGAGAAATGGTGCTAGCATGGGCAATAGTAAGCGAAAGACGCATGATACTCAGAATGGGGGCTAAGGTAACTACGGGCATTTATGATAGCAACAAAAAATAAGAGCGCGTGCAATAATAGACAACCGAGAGGTAACGAAAGTGATACAAACGGATAGGAACAATAGTAATACTCGCTATGCGAGCGCCAACGAACAAACATATGCGTAATACGACGCCACCGTGCCGCGAGGCACGAAGCGGAGCGTCCTGGTATCAATTCGAACTTTTCCTGGGACCTTCGGTGCGTTGTCGGATAATTCCAACATATCCAAAGATGGCCCAACCGGGCCGTCTTCGAGTACTCTTGGCAGCCTCTTCGCCCATCTTGGAGGCCCTGGCGGCCAGCCCAAGATGCCGAATCACTTGAAATGTCGTGGGCGTTCATATGATATTCGCATGCTCGCAAGTTCGACTTCCAGCGCGTCCAAGATGGCCAAGTAAGCCCCCAAGAGAGCCCCTAGAAGGCCTCCCGAGGCCCCCCAAGAGGGTGAACTCTAAATGGAAAGGGCCCCCGAAGGAGCCAGCAAGCCTTCAAGAGGCTCCCAACAAGCCCCCCGGGAGGCCTCCAACAGGCCTCGAAGACGCATCCAAGTGGCGCCCATGAGGCTTCCCAAGAGCCATCCGAGAGGCACCTTGTCCACGGCACAGGCACGGTGGCGGGATGGGCCGAAGGCCACTTGATCCGCCGCCCCCTGTGGTCTTGCCACAGGGGTGCACGGCGTGCTGGATGATTCAGTTTTGGTTTTGGTTCTTTTTCTAAAAGAACTCCCCTGTGGGCTTCGGCCCGTCCCGCCGGCCACCCGTAAATTTCCCAAAATGCGTCTGTCAATGCCTTTGTTGCCCCAACTTGGCCCAAGATGGCCTCCAAGACGGCCAAGATGGCCCAAGATGGCCTCCAAGATGCCTCCAAGACGGCCACGATGGCCTCCAAGACGGGTAAGATGGCTCCAAGATGCCTCCAAGACGGCCCAAGATGCCCTCCAAGACGGCCAAGATGGCCCCAAGATGCCTCCAAGATGGCCCACGAGGCCTCCAAGACGTTCTCCAGGAGAGCCCGAAGAGGCCAAAATCATTGGTTTTCCTTAGGTTTTCGAAGGTTTTTTGCGTTTTCATCTTTTCGGCCTTCCGACGGCCCAAGAGGCCCCCAAGATCGCCCAAGAGGCCTCCAAGAAGGCCCTATGACGGCCCAAGGGCCCCCCAAGACGGCCCCAAGAGCGCCCCAAGACGGCCCAAGAGGCCTCCAAGACGCCAAACATGGCCTCCAAGACGGCCCTGAAGCGCCCCAAGAGGGCCCCAAGACGGCCCAGAGAGGCCCCCAAGACGGCCCCAGACGGCGTCAGACGGACCAGGAACGCCCTAAGACGGCCAAAGAAACCCCCAGGAAGCCCCCAAAGGCCCCCAAGAGGCCCAAGGAGGCCCCCAAGATGCCTCCAAGAGGCTTCGAAGAGGCCCCCAAGAAGCTCCCAACAGACCCCAAGGGTGCCCCAAGAGACTCCTAACAACCCTCATCCTCCTACTCTATTTCTTCCTCTTCCTCTTCCTGTTCATAATCATTCTCTCCCATGTGTTCCCCGAAAGCTTTCCAAACCGACTCGGGGAACTCATGGTCCGATAGCTTGGCCAAGCTCTAGTCCAACTTTCGGCCACATCGGCGTTTCCAAAAAGGCAGGGGGCGGCGGTGATTCGCCGTAGGCGTCTTCGATCCGCCGCCCCCTGTGGTCTTGCCAAGGGGGTGCCTGTCGTGCTAGATCCTTCTGGTTTGATTTGGGCTCTTTTTATTCGGGATGGACAGACCCCCCCCCTTTAGTAAAACGTGGTTTAGTGAAAACGACCTGAGGCCCAAACCTGGCGCGCGCAAGCCCGGAAAATAACGGCCACGGCGCCCTCTCGAGAACCGAAAACGGACCATTCTCTAATCGACGTGTCTCTGTTGGGGGTTCTGTCCACCCCCGATTCATATATAATATAAGAAATAATAATAATAATAATGATAATAATAATAAAACAAAAAAAAAGCAAAAACAAAAAAAAAAAAAAAAAAAAAAACTCCCCCTGGGGCTCCGGCCCAGAGCGCCGGCCACCGGGAATGGCCCGCCTGCTGCGCCACCAAACAAAAGAGGCTGGCAGCTCCGATCCGCAACCTGCGCCCACGACAAGTTCCAAGTTCGGCCTTGCCGCCAGGCTCCCCCGACCAACTCTGCCCTGGACGGAGATGATCAACTCTCAGGGATGGATGGGGGGATGATTGATTATCCGGGGCGGCTGGTTATGTGCTGCAAACTATGTTGTGCACTCTGTCTGGTGTAGACTAAGTGGTGCAAGTTGTGTGATGTACGCTATGTGGGGTAGGCTGTGTGGTGTAAGCTACGTACCAGCTAGTGGCTGTTACTATGTCATGTAAGTTATGCAGTGAATCATATGTGGCGCAAGCTATGTGGTGCACGCTGAATGGTGTAAGCTGGGTGGTGCAGGCTCTACGGTGTAACTTATGTGGGGCAAGCTATGTGGTGCAGGCTATGTGGTACAAGCGAAGTTGTGGCGGCTACGTAATGCAAGCTACGCGCTGTAACATGTGCGGTGCAAGCTACGTGGGCAAGCTAAGCAGTGTAAGCTACGTGGTACCAGCTATGAAGTGCAAGCGATGTGGTGCAAGTTATGCGGTGTAATTCGCCGACCCCCTGGGGTTTCTCGGCGAGCGAGGCAGTTGTCCCTCCCCAGATGCCTCCCCATGGGAGCCTGGTCTGGGTTGTCTGGAGGAGGGAGTTTGCCCAGAGGCGCCGACGGGCCCCATTGGACTCTGTAAATCTCCAAGACGGCTGCGAGAGGGGCCAACTTGGGCGCAAGACTGCTCTAGGTGGTCTTCAAAAGGTTAACTTTTGCTCACGGATAGCTTCTGGCCATCGCTCGGACGTCCATTCCCTGTGTTGTTTTCGGTCTCGTGCGAGGTTTTTTCGCCAAATGATCAAGGATGCTCCTCGATGGTCCTCGCCGAAAGATGCCAAGGCTTTAACTGGCCTCATGACAGCCTAAGATGTCCCCGAATACCCCAAGACGCAACGACCGTGCAATCCCTCAAGAAAGCGTGCGTGCTTAGCGCCTTCGCTTTTTAGGTCCACGCAGCGTCCACGGCGGCCCCCGAGGCCTCTAAGACCGTCCCAAGACGACCAGCAAAGCTCCCTAGAGGGCCCAAAGACGGCCCAAGAGAGCTCCAAGACGGCCCCAGAGGCGCCCAAGACGGCCTAAGAGGGCCCCGGGAGGAGCCCAAGAGGGGGAACTCGAAGGGGCTGCGGGAGCCTTCCCAAATAAAATTGCACCCAAGAGGTCCCTACGAGGGCCCCCAGGAGACCCCCAGAGGCCCCCAAGAGAGCCCAACAAATACACAACAGGGCCTCTTCTGAGCACAGTTTTTAGCGTCTGACACAAAGGCACGGCGCCAAGACGCTTCTACGATAACGCCCCTGGAAGAAACTCATCCAGAGCTCCCAAGGGGTCGGCGGTGCGGCGTAAGCAAGTGGATCTATGTGGTGCAAGCTGCGTGGTGCACGCCATGCGGTGACAACTATTTGCTGCAAGCTGTGTTGTATACACCATGTGGTGCAAGCTATGTGGTGCTCACTATGTGGTGCGAGCTACGCGGAGCAAGCCTTGCGGTGCAAGCTACGCGGTGCAAACTCTACGGTGCAAACTGTGGTGGAAACTCCGTGGTGCAAGCTGTGCGGTGCAAACCATGTGGTGCAAGCTATGCTTTACAAGATATGCAGCGCACGAAGCGCCCACGACGCGGGCGGGCGTCTGGCGAAAGCCCGGAACTACCACCCGACACGAGGAGCCCACGAGGCGCCCACAGCGGGCCCCTGGCGAAAACCCAGAGTTGCCACCTAGCACGAGGCGCCCGCGAGGCGCGTAAGAGCGGGAGCAGTCAAAAACCCTCTTCATACAATCCAACTTCTTCTGATAGCACATATGATCGGACTGCTGGAATTAGGATCACAAAATTAGAGACGGGTCCCCTTCTTGGCCCCAGGAGCACTTGCGTGGACGAGGGGCGCTAGACAAACACCCATGGAAGGACCTAAGGACCATCGAACTTCTTCTGGGCCCAAGTTGCGCCTTATGTCAGCGTCTTGGCTGTAAGAAACTCTTAGTACACGCGCTGTTTGAAGAATCCCTGCACAATTTTGGCTGCGATCTGGGATCATGTGTGCGAAGACTCTGGCCCAATTGGGCACCCAACTCGGGGGCCAAACGGTCCATCTCCGTTCGGTTCCATTTTCCTCCACTGGACTCCACTGGGCTCCTGTGGACTCCACAGGACACCACTGCAATCCATAGAACTCCATGTGGAATGCCACTCCAGTGGAAGCTAGTCCAGAAGAAACTTTCCACAAGAAACCCAACCCTGAGACCCCAGGACGTCCCTCGATTTCTGGCGTGGGGGCGTCGCGCTTTCCGCGGCAGAAGCATCGAAACCCGAGAAACCCAAGGCGCCCTGGAGGCAAGCCGGTTGTTTCTTGGCATGGGCCTCCACTGTAGGACTCCACGTGTGGAATGCCAGTCAGACTCGATTGGGCTGCATGTTATCCTGCAGTGAAGGGGCCCTGGGACACACAAATAAATAGACACAACTAAAAGGATTCCCCATATTTTCCCATATGTTCTTGGTTGTTGCCTTCCCCCCATTTCCCATATCTTCCCATATTTTCGGGGGAATCGACGATGAATTGTGTCTGCGTGTTCTTGTCCCCTCCTGATGCAGGCCAGGCTCCCAGACGACGACCGCCGGGCGGGAGGGCACCGCGGAGCGGGCTCCCGCTCCAACGCCAGCAGGGGTGGGGGGTCCCAGGGCAGCCGCAGGCCCTGCGGGGCCCGAGCGGCCCCATCGCCTCCCTGAACTACCCAAACTGGTCTGAAGATTTGAAGGGGCCCTGGGGCACACAAATAAATATACACAAACAAGAATATCCCCCATAGTTTCCAATGTTTTCTGGGTTTTTGTCTTCCCCCCACTTCCCATATTTTCCTATATTTTCGGGGAAATCGACGATTAATTGTGTCTGTGTGTGTTTTTCTCCCCTGAATATTTACTGTAGGGGCTCTGCCACAAGAAACTTTCCGCAAGAGGCCCAGCCCTGAGGCCCCAGGGCGTCCACGGATTCCTGGCGTGGGGACGTCGCGCTCTCCATGGCAGAGCCATCGAAACCCGAAAAACCCTGGGCACCCTGGAGGCAAGCAGGGTGTTTCTTGGCATGGGTCTCCACTGCACACCTGATGCCCAGCAGGGGAGGTCCCAGGGCAGTCGCAAGCCCGACGGGGCCCGGGCGCCCCATCACCTCCGTGACTCCCAAACGGGTCGGAGCATTAGGCCCCCGCTGGCCACCAGCGACGACGGAACCTTGCCAAAAGGTGGAGGACGAGTTCGGGGGTGGCGCCGGCATCTAGAGAACTGGTGCCTCTCTAAATCAACCGTACGTGCATCGTACACTTCGAGCTTGCCTCAGAAGGCCAAGCCTGGATGAAACGGGATCTGAAAGCAAGATCACAAAATTGCTACAACATGGTGAGGTATAACAGCAATCTTAATTAGTACAAGTGCACGCTGGTGAACCGCAGGCTACTAGATGCAACGTATGCGCATCCAAGTCTAAGTCATCAACATGCACCTGGCACCCTAACATACCAAGATGCAAGAAGCTCAGCTGAAATCCCAGTCAACACAGCTGAAATCAAGCGGTACAACACTCGGAAGCCGCTGCAAGAACCTGTGCACCCCGGCAAATTCCATGGGACCGGAAAACCATGCAAGACCACTTGTGACACGACATATCATAGGGAAGGACAGGAAAAAAGAGGGAGGAGTACGAAGTAACCCTGTGCCCCTGATGATCACAAGATAGGGAAATTAACATTCGGGGTTCCAGACTGATAGTAAGCTTTTCCCGGCAATTCGCAACATACATGAGGATTAGGCGGAGGAGGAAGAGGAAGAGGAAAAATGAACGGAATCTTTCAGAGTGTACGGGTGTACGGAATGTTACGTCTCAAGGAGTCACGTCTAGGAGTCTCAAGGAGTCACGTCTAGGCATGGCGGCGCTCAGCATCATGCAGTGGCCCGCGAGCCCACGACAGACCATCTCCGAGAGGACAGCCAAGAGGTAGAAACCACAACAATGGATTACTGCCGAACACGCTTTGCATATTGGCGAGTATGCCCAAATCATAAGGCGAAGCGAACAACTCGGAGTCCCTCATCTGCTCGCAAAACTCAATGGTAGTCAGGTTCTTCCCCAGGAGCCACAAGTGGAAACACAAGAACGGTGCCAGCAGCACTGTCAGCAAGCCGGACAGCCCCGCACAACCAAACATAAAGGCTGTGCTGCCTGCAGGGAAAGTCTGTACATACAGAGTCGGGATCAAGGCGTAAAGAGCGATACCATTGGCCAAGACCGTATAGAGGAGGAACTGCACGAAGAATTTATAGTTGAAGTGGCCGATGCAATTGACGACCCATGGGCAATAATGGTCCATTCGCAGAACGTTCCGCCCAAGAGGCCTGCAATAATGTGATCTGTCTGGCTTGTACTTGTGCTCTTTGCTGCAAAAACGTACAGACTCACAGCTCTTTTTCCTCTCAAGCAGCTTGTATTGAACCTGCTCGAACACCCCTGGAGCTTCCCGCCACGACTCTGGAATACCGCCTGGATCCACCACGACGCTCTGGTGGTACGCCCACGCAGACAGGGCGATGGCCACGTTGAAGGCGACAGGTGCGCTGCCCGAGAGGCCAGTACCCAACAACGGCACGCAGCACCCGATGTACCCAAAATAGATTGTGCCCATGATGAGCGCGACCAGTGCGAGAGGCATGACCTCTCAGGGCTGAACCTAAACGGTGTTTTTCGTTTTCGCCTTGTGCTCGTTTTCCCTCGCTTTTGTCTCGAATCCGCCTTTACCGCAAAACGAAGTCGAAACGAAAACGGCCCACGAAATCGCCCAACAACACCGTTTAGGTCCGGCCCTGTTACCTCTCTCAGGGCCCTCCCTTGAAAGTGGCGCGCCAGCGGCGCCGTGGCACCGCAGGCGGCGCACGCGAGCGCCAACTCCGCGCAGGAGTCGACCACGGAGCCGAGCAGGGCCCCCGCCTCGCCGAGGTCCGCGGCCAGCTCCGCGAGGGCGCGCGCGGCCCCCGCGAGAGCGAACACGCCGCCTCCGGCAGCGCACCCCTCCGCGCACGCCGGGTGCGCCAGCGCCCGCCCGAGGCGGCGGGCGGCGCGCCCGAGGGGCTCCACGGCGATCGCAACGTCTGCCGCGCCGCCACGGCCCGGGTACGCGGCTGACATGCAGGAGCGGGGCGGACGCCGCGAGGCGTCAGCGTGCTTGGAAGGGCCAGACCGTCACATGAGAGCAGGCCTGGCTTGAGCAGAAAGCGGCAGCGGAAACTCGATCCTGCGGCGCTGGAAAACACATAGGAATGCATCGGAACAGACACAAAGGACCCCCCTGGAATTCCCACAGGGCTCCGATTGAACACCAAGGAAAGGGCATATTGAAACACATTGCAATGTTGGCCCGCGTGCAGCCCAAACAAGGATTTCTTGCGACTTTTGCGGGGCAATCCTTGTAGTGCAATCTGAGTGGTGCAATCCATTTGATGTCGTCTATGTCGCGCAAGCCAATGCAACGCAATGCAAAGCAATGCAAAGCCATCCAAAGCAATGCAACACAATGCAAATCAACGCGAAGCAATGTAACAGAGACGTAAAGCAACGCAACGCAATGCGAAGCAATGCAACACAATACACAACAATGCAACACACTGCGAACAAAGACAACGCAATGCAAAGTAGTTCAGAGTTACAATGCAACGAAAAGCCCCGAACACACAGTGCAAGCCAGTGCAACGCAAAGCAGTGTACAGGAATGCAACTCAATGCAGCGCGATGCAAAGAACTGCAACAACAATGCACAGCGCAATGCAAAGCAATACAAATAACGCAATACAAAGCAATACAAAGCAATGCAAAGCAATGCAAAGCAATGCAAAACAATGCAAAGCAATGCAAAGCAATGCAAAGCAATGCAAAGCAATGCGAAGCAATGCGAAGCAATGCACAGCAATGCAAGGCAAAGCAGTGCAAAGCAATACAACGCAATGCAAACCAATGAATGCATTGCAATGCTTTGCAATACGTTGCCATGCGAAGCAATCCGAAGCAATGCATATCAATGCAACGCTATACAAACCAATGCAACGCAATGCAAAGCAATGCCATGCAATGCAGAGAAGGGCACAGCAATCCAAAGCAATGCAAAACCATGTAAAATAATACAATCAAATGCAAAGAAACGCAACGCTGTCACGGGCGGCCGCACAGCCACTGGGGCCGAGCGGGGAAACGTGCGGCGACGAGCCAGCCAGATCGGCACCGAGGCCCAGTCATCTCAGAAGAGAAGAGAAGAACAGAGCACCCGAGTGAAAGTACTGCTTGGGGGAATGTCGGTGCGCGCTCCGATCCTGGGTAGGACCAGGCCTTGGCCGTCACCGTCCAAGAGAATCCCAAGCGGCCCAGGACCTGCACGCTCGCGCGCAGTCCGAGAGCGATCAGGCTCCAGTCTCCGTCGAGCCCCCCCGTGGGCCAAGCTCATCCTCTGCCTCCTCTCCTTGCCGTGCTGCTCGTCCTCCTCCTCTCTCCGATGTCCGTCGGCGGCGAGCGATGGGAGGGGGGGGGGAGTGAGAAGGGGAAGGCCTTCTCAGAAGGCGGCGGGACTTCTCAGAAGCCCTGGCGCCTTCTGAGAAGTGTTTTGCGTCTTCGGGGAAGGCTCAGAGAACTTCTCAAAGGCTAGGGGCCTTCCGAGCCTTCTGAGAAGGCCCGCCCCTTCTCACTTCCCCCCCCTCGCTCGCCGCCGAGTCCGTCCCTCGCTCCCTCGCTCGCGGAACAACCTATCGTTCTACCTCGCCTCCAGGTTGGGCCGGTCCTGGTTGACTTATTCGTCGAGGCTTGCTGCAGTTTCTGATGGGTCTCTCGGGGGCCTTTTGAGCATTCTCGGAGGCTCCTGGAAAAATCCTGGGGGTCATGGGCGCTATCTTGGGGGGGAAGGGCTCCTTAAATTCCTTCGACTCCCCTCATCCTGCGACTCTCCTGGGGCCCTTGAAAATCCTCGTGGGCTCGTGGACCGTCGTGAGGATCTCTTGGCCCGTGACGTCCTGGATCCCTCTTAGAGTACTATTGGGCTGGTCGGGGAAGGGGGGCTGGCCGCCATGGGGTTTCAGGAGCCAGGGGGATCTCAAACTCGGGGGGGGGTATAATCATCCTGGACTCAACCATCTGAAAGTGTGAGAACCGAAAACCCATGGGACGAAGGTGGGGTCACAAAGCGTGGAGGGTGTATCGACATGGGCGGGGTGACGCATTGCGGGCGCTGCCACTGGGGCCCTCGGTAGCACTCAATGTGGAAACGCGAAGTGGGTGAGGGGTGTGCCGACAAGCAAGCGGGGTGACGGCAAGCAAGCGCTGCCACTGAGGCCTTCCATGGGGCCCCCTGTTGGGTCACGAAACGTGTGAAGGGTATGCCGAAATGGGCGGGGAGACGCCTTGCGGGCGCTGCCGACTGGACCTTCGGTCCAGCCCCCTGTGGAGTCATGAAACGCGTGACGGGTGTGTCGAAATGGGCGGGGTGACGCCATGCGGGCGCTGACACTGGGGCTCCCTGTGAGATCACGGACCGTGTGAAGGGTGTGGCGAAATTGGCGGGGTGACACCGTGCTTTCGCGGCCACTGGGATCACGAAACGTGTGAGAGGTGTGCCGAGATTGGCGGCATGCGGGCGCTGCCACTTCGGCCTTCGGTAGAGCTCCCTGTGGGGTCACGAAACGTGAGCAGGGTGACGCCATGCAGGCGCGGCCGCTGGGGTCTCCAGTGGTGCTCCGAAACGTGCGAGGGTGTCGCAGTGGGCGGGGTGACGCCATGCGGGCGCGGCAACTGGGGCCTTCGGTACGGCTCCCTATGGGATCACGGAACGTGTGAAGGGTGTGGCGAAGTTGGCGGGGTGACGCCATGCAAACGCTGCCACTGGGGCCTTCGGTAGCGCTCCATGTTGGGCCACGAAACTTGTGAGGGGTGTGCCAGAACGGGTGCAGGGCCGCCATGCGAACGCTGCAACTCGAGCATTCGATGGAGCTCCACTTGAGGTCTCGAAGTGTGTGAGGGGTGTCCCAAAACGTGTGAGAGGTGTGCCAAAATGGGTGCTGGGCCGCCATGCGAGCGCTGCCATTGGGGTCATCGGTGGAGCCCACTGTTGGGGCACGAAGCCTGTGAGGGGTGTGCCGAAACGTATGAGGGGTGTGTCGACATGGAGTAACGCCATGCGGGCGCGTCCGCTGGGGTCTCTAGTGGTGCTCCGAAACGTGCAAGGGTGTCGAAATGGGGGGGGTTACGCCATGCGGGCGCGGCAACTGGGGCCTTCGGTGCGCCCCCCTGTGGGGTCATGAAACGCGCGACGGATGTGTCGAAGTGGGCGGGGTGACGCGCCATGCGAACGCTGCCACTGGGGCCTCCGGTGGAGCTCCTTGTTGGGCCACGAAACATGTGAGGGGCGTGCCAGAATAAAGACATGCGGAGATCAGATGCAGGGATCCGGGATGGGGGGAGGGGGCAGGGGGAGGTGGAGGAGGAGTGCGGAGTGAGAAACGCGGGGCGCTGATGATACAACACGAGGCCACAGGGAGGAAAACATCTTACCTCAGGACGCACTTTTGGAGGCACTCTGCGGCACACTCTTGGGGCGTCTTTGGAGCCTGTTGAGGGTCATGTGCCCCTGGGATCCCCTTGGTTTCCCTATCTTGGGATTATCCCTGGGCTCGTTTAGAAGCTTGTTGAGCCATCACTGGAACCTCGTGGACGGTCTTGAAGCTCTCGTGGGCAATTTTGGGGCTCTCTGGGTGTTTGGTCAGCGCAATGCCAGGCAATGCAAAGCAATGCAGACCAGTGCAAAGCAATGCGGTGCAACGCAATGCAAAACAATCCACACCAGTGTCAAACAATGCAAATCAACACACATCAATGCAGCGCAAGGCGACACCATGCAACGCAATGCAAAGCACGCCAAAACAAGGAAATCAATACAAAGAAGCACAATGCAAAGCACTGCAAATAAAAACCGTGCAAAGCAATGCAACGCAACGTGCAGTAATGCACTGCGCTGCAACGCAAAGAAATGCAAACCAAGACAACGCCATGCAATGAAATGCAACGCAACGCAAAGGAATGCACCGCAATGCAATGCAAAGCGGGGCAAGTCGAAGCAAGCCAAAGAAATGCAAACAACTGAACGCACTGCAATATAACGCAAAGCAATGTAACGCAAAGCGATGCAACGCAATGCAAGGCAAAACAAGCCACAGCAAGGCCCGCAATTCAGCGCAATGCACGGCAAAGCAATGCAAAGCTATGCAAAGCAACGCTTGTGCAAGGTAATGCACAACAATGCAACGCAATGAAAAGCAACGCAATGCAATGCACAGAAATGCACAGCAAAGCAAAGCAACGCAACCCAATGCAAAGCAATGCAACGCAACGCATAGCAATGCAAAGCAATGCAGAGCAGTGCAAAGCAGTGCAAGGCGATGAAAAGCTACGCAAAGCAAGGCAACGCAACGCAGCAGAATGGAAAGCAGGGCAATGCAACGCAATGCACAGAAAGGCAAAGCAAGCCAATTCAAGGCAAGGAATGCAAGGCAAAACAATGCAAGCCAATTTAACGCAAAGCACTGCAAAGCAAAGCACTGCAAAGCAAAGCAAAGCAATGCAAAGCAATGCAACACAATGCGGTGGCGACCACAGCGGATCCCAGACGACGGGCGGCAACGGCGACGGGGCGGCGCGACGGCAACCAACACGCTGCGGACCCGGCAGCGGAGCCCAGCCGACGGGTGGCGACGAGGCTGCGACGGGGCGGCGACGGCGACAACAAGGGTGCGGGCCTGGCACCGGAGCCTAGTTCCTTGGCAAACAAGAAAGAGCCCCTAAGTGCAAGCACTGGTTTGGGGAAGAGGCACCCAATGATACCACAACATATTTGACCCCAAAATGCCCTCTTGGAAATATCTGTGCGACACTCTTGGGCGTCTTAGGGTCCTCTTGTGTCGTGTTCAGGCCATATCGGGCCGTGTTGATGGTTTCGTTGGCCGTCTCGAGCTGTCCGTGAGAAGGTTTTGGGCAGTCCTGGGCCTCTGTGGGAGCGACTAGCGTGCAAATCAAGAGGCAGGATCGCCCTGTTACAGCCATGGAGGCTTTGGTGCATACCCTCAGGGCCCAGGGTACTATGCACATCTCTTAAGGAG